CCCGCCGTCCCCAGCCCTGTCCTGCTCCCCAGTGCCACCCTGTCCCCAAACCCTCCAAGCCCATAGTGTCCCCAGCCCTCACCCCCATCCTGTCCCCTCCATGGCTGTGCCATTCCCTGCTGCGTCCCCGTCCGCTACTCGGACCAGCTCATTATCAGCCTCTCCACGGAGGGGCTGGAGGTCCGCAAGTTCCCCAACATGGTGGCAGAGGAGTGCGGCTGTCGGTAGAGGTGCCCACACACCTCCCCGCTCCCCCTTGCCCTGCTCCCCCCTCCCCATTTTGCCCTCGCAGCTCGGGAGCTGGTGCTTCTCACCAAGACGGGAGCTCCCTGCATGTCCTTTCCCCACGGTTTTGTTACCCTGTACCAAGGGTGCAAACAGAAAATATAACAGTCTCAGCAGTTCCTGTTGAACATTACACAAATTACTTACCTGTACGAAATACTGTGATGACCGTCATTGCTCAGTGTGTTATGATCAGGACCTTTCCAAGTAACTGAAGCCTTGGGGCGACCACAGACTTTACACCTAAGCACGATGGTCTCTCCTGTCTCACATGTTACCTCACTCAATGGTATTATAAACTCTGGGGGAACTGGAAAAAGAAAATTAATGGCATTAAGTCAATTGAAGTTAATAAATTTGCTTTTCTATTCCTTGCACTCTCTCTTTTCTATTAGACAAAGTAGTATGGTACTTCAAATTTCCAAGGCTTATCTATCCCTCTACACTTGGAGCACATTCATGATTAGGCCACTTGCTCGGGCTCTGCAGAGCTAGGGAATTTTTCTCTGTGTAGACTTGGAGACAACACTACTGCTATGCCACAGATAACCCTGAAGCCTACCATGGTGATGCAAACAACCTCTTTATGGCAAGCCAAGGAAACTCTACAGTGAGAAGTATTTAAGGATGTATTCAGCTAGGCTATCTTTATATCCAGCTAAGTCTGCAAAGGGGAACACAGAACACCTCACTCATCCACTGAGGCACTGTAGTGGTTTCCCTGTTTCACAGGTGAAACTCAAAAAGTTTGGTTCTGTGTATCAAGATATAAACCCAGTTTGGCTCTTAACTCAGAGGGCCACTATCTTTGTCCTGATCAGGCTCTGCACTGGAGACGCCTTGAACGTTTCCTAGGGTGCAAGGTTAAAAATGAAGCAGCTCCAACTCCCGGTCTTGTTATTTTGCAAGTTCAGCAAGGTCCAAATTCCATACAGTCTCCATATAGAACACGTCATATAGTCCTTGTGTTTTATGTTGTTTTGGACTTGTGAACAAAAAATGAGTTCTTTGCATCTTAAAAAAATCAATATGAATGAATGAATGTTCATTGACTGTGCCCCTTATCCAGAAAGGGCATATGTATGTTTTGATAGAAAATACTCAGTTCCTGACATAATTCATATCAAGCAAATTTAAACAAAGTAAATAATGTTTTAACCAAATTATACTGACTGCAACTTTTTAAAATTAAAACAACTTACCATCATAAATGTAATTGGGGTTGAGAAGCTGGAAAGGAGAAATTAAAGAATTAATGTCCTGATAACCTTATAATAACTTAAAGAATGGTAGAAAACAAAGCCCAGTGATGGCTCAAAGTTAGCTGTACCCACCAAGATCCAAGAAACATCTGAACACCAGAATTTCTGCATCACTCTACTCTTTCTGCAGTATCTTTATGCTATATCACGCTTGCAGGCTCAAAAATTGTATCTTCCTGTTTTCAGATTTGGCAAACACCATCCATTAAAACCACTGTTACCTCTAATTCCTTCATGTGAAATTCTGCCAGAAGCTACTTTTAAAGAAAGCCCAACACAACTTCTTTTGGAAACTACTACATCTTTGTAACACTTACCTTTACAGAAACCTTGTTGGCAAGTCCTTCTCGGGATTTGCGGTAACCATTTTCTAGCTTGCCTTCCCTTTTGCCGTCTTTATCTTTTTTCTCAGATTTTTTCCTTAAACGGAGTGCTGTGTGCCAAGACGTTGACTTCCTGAATACAGAACATTAAACTTTGATCAATTTTTTTCAACTCCAGGTTACGTGTTATACTCTCTAGTTTCAAACAGCATTGGAAAAGTATGTCAAAATGTTATTGGATTGTATTAAAGTATACTGAAATGAAACACATTAAGTGTTCCAGAAGAGATGTTACCCTTGAATAAAAATGTAAGCAACCCAGTAAGATTAGTCTGTAGTTCAGTATTTCTTAAAATTATTGCTCAAATGGTAAAATTTCTATTTGAAAATACAACTGTCAAACTGAGCAATGATCAGTATGAAATTTCATATCAAATACAGCCTATAGATGCTTTGTATAAAGATTTAGTGCTAAGAACTTTGCTATAATTTCTCCCATTGCAGATTTGAGAGACCTTCCTAACACAACCAGTCATTTTCAATAGGTTTCTGACTCACAGTAAAGAGTGACCCCGCTCCCGGGCGCTGCCAGAGCCGGGGGATGAGGGGAGGAGGGCTGAGAGAGAGGGGAGCGATCCCGTTACACCTCCCGGGCTGCTCACGCCATTAATAGGATCGGCTGCAAACTGCTGCAAAAGCACCTGCCCCGCGTCCCCGCCGGCGTCGGCACAGAGCCCGGCTGCCCCTTGGATCAGCTTCCCTCAGCGAGACCCACCGGGGCTGCCCCAGGGTCCGACCCCCTATAAAGCAGCTCCTGGGCTTTTCCCGGCTGGAGCA